TAGTGAAGGAGATAAGTTTAAAGAGAAAGGTAGAGACACGAAGAAGGGGGTGGGTGAGCAGCCCTGGGCTGCAATGTGGGTGAGCAGCCAAAGCAGGTGTCCCCGCAATTGACTTGCCACCAAGGGAATGTGGGTGAATGACCAAGGCAGGCGTCCCCACAGTGATCAGACACCAATGGAGTGTGGGTGAATAATCAGGCAGGCGTCCCCGCAGTGATTAAACACCAAGGGAAGACTGTCTTCCCGAGTCCGTTATCGGAGCCGGAGTTTTGGGTTCATGGATAGAATGTGTCTCCTTTGCCTTTACTAGAGAGGAAAAAGAACTGGAATCGGAAGGACAGGGAGATTGAAGGGTAGCAAGAGAGGGAGATTGAAGGGTAGCAGGAAAGGCTGGAGAAGGGAGTGAAAAGACCGCTTACCCGATTTGAAATTGGTGAGATGTTCCTTGGACTGGTTGGTCTGAGGACCTGAGGTCGTAGGTGGATCTCCTCATAGAGGAGAGGAGGGGGGACCAGTCTCCCGAAGGAGTCCTTCTGACCCGGGTCTTCGGCACCAAATTTCACACATGTCCGTGTGAAGAGACCACCAAACAGGCTTTGTGTGAGCAACAAGGCTGTTCATTTCACCTGGGTGCAGGTGGACTGAGTACAAAAAGAGAGTCAGTGAAAGGAGATGGGGTGGGGCCATTTTATAGGATTTGGGTAGGTAATGGAAAATTACAGTCAAAGGGGGTAGTTCTCTGGCCGGCAGGGGTGGGGGTCACAAGGTGCTCAGTGGGGGAGCTTCTGAGCCAGCAGAAGGAATTTCACGAGGTAATGTCATCAGTTAAGACAGGAACAGGTCATTTTCACTTCTTTTGTGATTCTTTAGTTACTTCAGACCATCTGGATGTATACACGCAGGCTTGGGCTCAGAGGACTGACAGTTTCCCTTTTCACTTGGTTCTCATCTTCTCTTGTGTTCCGCCATGTCAGACGTGCCTTTCACCTTCCACCATGATTGTGAGGCCTCCCCAGCCATGTGGAACTGTGAATCCATTAAACCCCTTTTTCTTTGTAAATTGCCCAGTTTCAGGTACGTCTTTGTATCAGCAGCGTGAAAGTGGATTAACATACTCCCTCAAATGGGGATGATCATGATCATTACAATAGCTACAATCTTAATATTTTTAAAGCACAGTACCTAGAATCCACTAATCTATGAACTGATCTTGAGCAAGCCTGTTTCCTACTCAGACCCCAAGCTCAGTATGAACATAACTTTCCATGCCTCTGTGCAATGCTGCAAAAGGCCTGCATACTTGGAGTCCATAGGAGAGTGTGCTCAAAACACAAAGTCCCAGTGACCCCGCACCACTCGACATCAAAGCAAACGTGGCAGGAGTGTGTCCTCTGGCCACTTGCATTCTCACTCGTACAGACTGTGGATGCAGCACTTGCTCGTGGGTAATTGTGGATCTGACTTTCCAAAAGTACAAGTATGTGGCCACTTTAATCACTGAGCTTCAGTTTCGCTCTCTGTAAAATAGGGAGAACTAATAATCCTAGCTGCAGGGATTAAATGGTGGATGCAAACAGCCTTGTACGAAGTTGTTATCTGTGCAGAGGAAAAAGCGGGTGTCACTGGCATGGAAGGACCCGGAGGATACAGCCCAGCCTTTCTCTGTCTTGTCCATCCCCTGGTCTTTTAAACGCGAGTGGGGCGGGGCCACGGCATCGATCACTCGGCACTCCTCTAGGCACTGCGTCGTGATCAGACGAGCGGTGAGCGATCGATACTCCTATGCTAGCCTCTGACTCCTCGGGGGAGACAGCCGCGTCGTCGGACCAAAAGCAACGAGTAGTCGCCAGCCCAAAGGCGACTCGACACCGTCCCAGCTGAAGAGAGGTTAGTCTGAGCAACTCGGGAGCGGAGTCAGCTCCAGTTCCTCAGAAGTGGAGATGCCGGGTTCAGTGGCATAGACTGCGCAGGCGTCATGTGAAGCAGCCAAGCCCGGCCTCGCGCGTGCGCCTTGGAAAGCCCGAGGCTGGCTCGAGTCGGCGCATGCGCTCTGAGCCGGCCTGAGCTGCTGGAGCGAGGGAAAGGCTCCGCGCGTGCGTAGTGCTCGTCTTCTGGCAGTGGCTTGGCGCATGCGTGAGGGCAGGCCCTTAAGGCAGGCTGCTGTGCGCTTTCGCGGTTCTAGGCGTCTAGTCGGTATAGCCCTAGTGCGCCTGCGCGGATTGTATGCTCTGGTGTGTGTGTGTCCGCTGGTTTTGGGCAATCAGCCGCTGCCTCTGGGCTGCAAGGCCGGCTGGGAACGATTCAGCCGTCAGGTCCCAGATAAGAGCCGCGAGAAATGTAGCCCCGGGAAAGGCGCTGAGGAGGAAAGGGGGTCTGAGGCCTCGGGGGACTCAAGGCTAGTGCGGGGTGGGACCCTGTGGGGCCTGGGTGTGTGGCTGCCCTAAGGAAAGGTGCTTGTAGCGCGGTAAGACTTAACGATGGGCATCGGTGCGTTTCCCAGCAACGGTAAGAATCGCCGTGCTCGGGAGGACA